TTGGTCTCGAGACCGGTCTCGAGACCAAGACCGGTCTCGAGAACTACAACACTAGGTATCAGGAGGATATACAAGTGAGTGAAGTAATTTATATTTACATAATTATAAGAGAAAAAAATGAGTATAAGTTTTTTGAATGAATGAATGGATGTTGCATTTTTTGTGCTTTACAGAAGCAATGGGGAGTCACTTCAACCACCACCACTGTGTAGCACCCACCTGAATGATGCAGCTGCAACTTTTAGCCTATTCTAATAATTTATAATTTATTTGTTTTATGATTACCTTTTATGGGCACAAATGTATTGTTTTTGAATATTTAATTGTTTATATGTGGTAGCATTTATGGGGAGTTCGAACGCACCCGGGAACCCTCTAGAAGTGGAAGATTTCTGAATGAGGACAATAAATACATCTCAGATCAAAGGTACAAAGGATCAGTGACCAGGAAGTGTGAAATTTGGTCAATTGTCTATTTGCATGTCCCTTCCTGTGGGGCCAGGTGGGGGTGAAGGACATTATTCTATCAATATACATTTGGTTTATGTTAACCTTGTAACTCTGGCACCACAGTGTGTGTATGTGTCATTCATATTGAAATATTAAACTGTATTCTTAAAGCTGTACCTAAACTATGTATATGAATTTATTCAATGTATTCAATTCCATATTAATTCTACATCCTTAAATTCACATTTGAATTGCAATACTGCATCCTGCTTTCAACTGCAACTCACATTCAGTTCGAATTCAGGATTCAAATTACAATTTCAGAGCCATTCTGAATTCAATTCTGAATGATGCACAACCCTGATTCAGTGAAATGTACTGTAGCAGAAGGGAAAGTGGCCAAGGATGTCAGTATAGCAGTGGTAAGTAATGAAGGTAGAGACACAAACACAACAAGCCTGCCTGCTCCTCATCAATACACATACATGTTTGCACAAAATACTAATAGACTTTTGTTTCTAATAAAAAAGATAAGCATTTCTGGAAATTTAATGCACACAGAAATGCTCTGACATGCACATATACACCATTTCAGAAATACACATTTGTTTCAAATTTAAGATAAAACAAGGAACAAGCTGGTTTTCATGTAGCCACAGCATTTAGTCAAGCAGTGTGCAACCCAGATAAGAAACTGCACTAGACTATGTGGGTAATTATGTTACTGTCATTAACTGTGTCTGTGTTCCAAATCATTATTTGTTTGGGAGACACAACAATGCCTGTTATTTTACTTGCCAATTTCATATAGCATTTATTAGATGGTAGGTAAGACTAAGAAAATAAATGTTTGAGCAGAACAGCTGCTGTTAGTAAACCGTGATGGAGGTCCATGCTTTCTGGTCACATAATGGCATGGCAGAGTCCTACTAAGCCCTAGACAAGCTTCACTGTCAGCGCCCACCTCATCCTCCCCCACCCGGCAAACTTTACTGCCCAGATTGACTTTGTCTCGGATGGTGCACCGCACGTGGCTCTCTGCATGCTACTTGCATCAAGGGAAGGTGGGTTGATGCCAGAGGTTCACTGAGTTGCCATCCTGTCAGAAGAGGCCGTCCCAGCTGGCCCCCTATATCGCCCAACACGTTGACTAGCACCAGTCCTACCCAAAACACCCCAGAAAAACCATCAGAGACCAATGTCACACCCCCCAAAACTCCCCCTACAACTCCCAAGACCACCCATCAGGGTAACAGTACATTGAAGGAAATAAGCCAACATGTGTGGAGGCATCACCCAAGCTGCTCATGCTGTGTCTGAATGGCAGTCGGTGACCTGAGCTTCATCATCACTAAGGAGAGCTGCGTGCTGTTCAGCTGACCTCCTGGTGATACCTCACTCAACTATCTATGGAAAAATGCTTTTAAAGAACGCATGAATAACAACAGGCAGTACTGGGTTCCTCCTTTCCTCTGCCTTAAAGCCATGGCTAACGATTACCTGCAGACCCGGCTCCCACTCTGTTCCTTACCAGCCTAAGTGGCAGGGCTGCCACCCTGTCACAAGAGTCACCGTGATGACAGGTTGCACACAGAGACTGAGTCAGACATCCTGTTAGGGCTATGTGATATATAATGGACAAGATAAAGTTATATTTTGACCTGTCAATTTCACCAGTAATTGAAAACACTACCTGGGTTTTCTGCTGGCCTTGAATATCGGACAAAGTAACAGTCGCTTTGTAGTGTACAGTCATTCCGGGAACTAATTCAGGTCCACCCATCTGCATAGGCCGCTAACACGGTCACAGACGCCCCCCCATGGTGCAGCTGCAAGAGTTGCTACAGTTGTGCCCAAAGTGCCCACTGGGGCAGGCTGGGAAAGACAGAGTACATGTGCAAGAAGGAGCGAAATAAATGGAGAGTCACTGGCAAAGAGAAGATTTTAGAGAAATTAAACATTAAAGTACGCAATAGGATTAAAGTCTTTCAGAGAAACCCGAAGCAATGGACCCTATTTCAAGCATATAAAAGAGACTTCAGACAAATCATTTTTATTCTAAAGATGTTTCAAACAGCATTAAACTTTAATTTTAAAACTACAGTAAATATATCGATGCATTTATCATGAATT